TACTTTTGACTGACACGGGAGAACCTGAGAATTATAATGAAGCCATGCAAGATAATCACAAAGATCATTGTATCGAAGCGATAAAAGATGAGATGAAGTCACTCCATGAGAATGGCACATATGAGTTAGTAAAATTGCCGAAAGGTAAGAGAGCTTTATCTAACAAATGGATATTTAGAATAAAGCAAGATAACCATACCTCTGCGCCTAGATAAAAGGCGAGGTTAGTTGTTAAAGGTTTTGGCCAGAAGAAGGGAGTTGACTTTGATGAAATTTTCTCCCCTGTTGTGAAGATGTCTTCTATTCGTGTGGTTCTAGGCTTAGCCGTAAATCTAGATTTAGAGGTTGAGCAGATGGATGTCAAGACTGCTTTTCTTCATGGTGATTTAGATGAGGAGATTTATATGGAGCAACCTGAGGGTTTTGTAACTAAGGGAAAAGAAAATTATGTCTGCAAATTGAAAAAGAGCCTGTATGGATTGAAACAAGCTCCAAGGCAATGTATTTGAAGTTTGAATCTGTCATAGAAGAACAAGGGTAGAAGAAAACTTCTTCAGACCACTGTGTATTCTTCCAGAAGTTCTCTGATGATGATTTTATTATTTTATTGCTTTATGTGGATGACATGCTTATTGTTGGCAAGAATAAATCCAGAATCGTAGTCCTTAAGAAGCAGTTGAGCAAATCGTTTGGGATGAAGGACTTGGGGCCAGCAAAGAAAATCTTGGGCATTCAAATCCACCGACATAGAGGTAGAAATGTGTTATTTCTGTCCCAAAAGCAATACATTGAGAAGATACTCAAGAGGTTCAATATGACAGATGCAAAAGTGGTTAGTACACCTCTTGTTAAACATTTCAAATTGAGTATTAGTCAGAGTCCATCTACTCATGAAGAGAAAAAGGAGATGTCTCGTATTCCTTACTCTTCTGCCGTTGGTAGCTTGATGTATGATATGGTTTGCACTAGACCAGATATTGCATATGCCGTTGGTACTGTTAGTAGATTCCTTTCCAATCCTGGAAAAGAACAATGGGATGCAGTAAATGGATATTAAGGTATTTGAAAGGTACTGCAGATTTGAAGTTGCGCTTTGGCAATGGCAAACCTGAACTTGTTTGTTACACAGAATCTGATTTAGGAGGCAATCTTGATAATTCAAGATCGACTTCCGGTTATTTGATCACTTTTGCAGGGGGAGTTGTTTCTTGGCAATCTAGACTACAAAAGTGCATAGCTCTATCCACCACAGAAACCGAATATATTGCTATCACAAAAGGTTCCAAAGAACTATTATGGATGAAGGAGTTTATTAATGATCTTGGCTTTGAGCAGCCAAGGAACATCTTATTTTGTGATAATCAGAGTGTTATATGTCTCACCAAGCACTCCACTTTTCATTCTAAGACCAAACATATAAATAGAAAGTATCATTGGATAAGAATGGCCGTAGAAGAGAAATTATTTGAGGTTGAGAAGATACACAATGATGAAAATCTTTCGGATATGCTGACAAAGGCGGTGGCTGCAGATAAACATGAATTTTGCAGAAAATTGGCAGGCATGAAGCCTGTCAATAGTTCCTCTACTTGAAGGCACATTTGGCCCCTTGGCTGGAGGGAGAGTTTGTTGGGCTCGTGCCCATGTTGTCCAGCCAAAGGCCCAATGGCCTAATCTTATTCTCTTTTGGTTTCCATTCCTATTCGGAATTGGATTAGGTATTTATTCCTATTTTGAGTGGGTTTTGGCTTTAAAGAAAGCACCACTCATGATCTATAAATAGGACAACCTTGGACAATTATTCTATGCTCATTGATACAAGTCTTTGAAAGACTTAAGCACATAAGAGTGGTTTAGAGAGAGCTTTCATCAAGAGAGAAGAGAGAAGAAAAGCATTTCTTTTGCTGCAGATTTTTATTCCGACCAGCCAACTTCAAATCACGTTTTCCGATTCGTTAACCGTTAGATCGTGCTAAAATTTTGTGTGATTGTTTGTAAAATCTTGGTCTTTGATATGAATGGTGGAGATCGGATTTGAAAGCTCGTAGCATCTGATTTCAAGCCTCAAACAACAGCTTCATTTTTGTGGATTATACTCTTTCTTCAATTGATTAGTTGTTGCTCTTGTTGCTATTGTTGCTCCGTGTTTGGCCCTTGTTGTGTAGCCAATTTGGAGAACTTTTGTAACTCTCTTATTGTTATATTGGAGTTTTTTGGATCTTTGTGATTCTGTGATTTTTACCTTCGATTTGAAGGGTTTTTCACTTTAAAATTTGGTGTTCTTTATCTTCTTTATTTTCGGGTTTGCCTCTTCCTCAACATAACACTCATATCAGTTATTAAAGCCACATAGCCTTTTTCCTCCTGTGTTTTGCGTTTCAAAAAAAATTATTGCATTGTCCGAAATAAATCTTCCTGGGATGAAGGCATTTTGGACCTCTGTAATCGCTACGTTCATAAACTTTCTCATTCGATTGGCCACGGTTTTACATGCGATCTTGTCAATCACATTACATAAGGATATAGGGCGCAAATCTGTGATGTTCTCAGGAATTTTCTTCTTTGGAATTAAGATAATATTAGTGAGGTTTCCTCCAAGAGTTAGCATATTGTGGCTAAGAGTCGCTAGAACTGCATCACTAACATCTTTGCCCACGATAGACCAAAACGAGCGATAGAACCCCGGATTCAGTCCGTCCGGTCCTAGTGCCTTATCAGGGTGCATATCGAAGGTTGTTGACTTAACTTCCTCCCTAGTAAATGGGCTATTAAGCTCGATATTATGTTCTTCCTTAACTCTACATTCAACCATCTCCAGGATCTCGTGCGTACTCCCTTGATTGGACGAAAACAGATTCACATAGAAGGTGACAATCAGATCTTTGAGTCCGTTATCCCATCTAACCCACTGTCCATAACAAGTTTGGGGAGGGTAGTGTGTACGCAGACCTTGCCCCTACCCCGAGGGAGTAGAGAGGTTATTCCCGAAAGACCCTCGGCTCAAGAAGACGAAAAGAGACAATATATCAGTACCATCAACAGAAACCAAGGAATAATAACAATATCATAAAAGCCAGAAAATAGATGAAACAATAGTAATAACCAGTAAATAGACCCAGCACTATAAAACGAAAGGGTAGTGAGAACACAACATTAACCACTAGCAGTCTAAGACAAAAATCCTATCAGACTAGCCTCACATAGTTACGACCCAACCCTACCACCCTAATACACGACCTCTACAGCTTTCTATCAAGGGCCATTCCTCGAAAATCTGATGTCCCGCCATGTCCTGCCTGATCACCTCTATCCAATACTTCTTAGGCGCCCCCTACCTCTTCTCGTGCCTTCCAAACCCAACCGCTCACACCTCCTCACCGGTGCATCTGAGTTTCTCCTCTACATATGCCCAAACCATCTTAGCCTCGCTTCCCGCATCTTGTCATCAATGGGAGCCACGCCTACCTTCTCCCGAATATCATCATTTCTAATCTTATCCATCCTCGTGTGTCTGCACATCCACCTCAACATCCCCATTTCTGCTACTTTTATTTTTTGGATATGTGAGTTCTTATCTGGCCAACACTCAGCCTCATACACCATGGCCAGTCTAACCACCGCTGAATAAAACTTACATTTGAGTAACGGTGGCACTTTCTTGTCACAAAGAACTCCAAATGCTAACCTCCACTTCATCCACCCCACCCCAATGTGGTATGTGACATCCTCGTCGATCTCCCCATCCCTTGGATAACCAACCCAAGGTACTATTTAATTTTCGTATTATAATCCCGTCATTATAATCTTAGAATAACTCCCAAACCAAAGGGCCTTAGAGAAAAAAACTTAGCTCTACGGAAGCTTACAAGAATGTAAATATAAGAAGAAATACAATATTATGAAAAAATACTAAGTGAATTAGTTCAAATTGGAGGTCCCATGTTACTAATAAATCTCAGGTCTGTACCAGCAGCCTCAAATTCGTGTAATATATGTAACGGAAAAGGGCCAAATATCCCCCTAGACTTTGCGAAAAGGGCCAAATATAACCCTCGTTAAAAGTTTGGCCCATCCACAACCCTACCGTTACATTATTGGCCTATATACCCCCCTGATTTCAAACGGAAGCCACAGTGGATAAGTCATCTACTCAAAAGTAGCCATGTGGAAATTAATATCCACATAATCATTTTATTTAAATGTCCAACCCAACCCATTAACCCAACCCGTAACCCGACCCATTAGCTATAACCCGCCTCTTAATAACGTTATCCTTTTCTTCCGCTTGGGTAAAATCAATTACCAAACTCGGTTGTTACCCTTTTCTTCTCCACCCCCGAAAATTCCACCTTCTTTCTGCTAATGCAAAGGAATCTAATCGAAGGTTGGTGCTGCTGAAACTCCATACCCCCATATTAAAGAAGATCTTCTTGTCAAGGTAAGTTTTTTTAGCTTCTTTTTTGTTACATTTTACTGTTGGGTCTAGGTTTTATGTTTAAAATCGTTTTAACATGTACTTTGGGTCGAGTTAATGTTTGTCCGTTTAAAAGCATTATATATGTATGTTTATTGCTGGATTTTGTTTATTCTTGTATTTTTCTTGGGGATTTGGTGGGTCTTTGGTTTTCCCGATTTTGATGTTTGTCTTTTTGTGTTTTTTTATTCCATGCTTTATCTTTATCCGTATATGTTTGTTTATTGCTGGATTTTTGTTTATTCTCATATTTTTTGTTGGGATTTGGTGGGTGGCCGTCCCGAAATCAGATTTTCTTTTAAGTTTTTTTTATTCCATGCTTTATCTTTATCCGTATATGTTTGTTTATTGCTGGATTTTTGTTTATTTTCATATTTTTTTGTTGGGATTTGGTGGGTCGGCTGTCCCGAAATCAGATTTGCTTTTAAGTTTTTTTATTCTATGCTTTATCTTTATACCAATATTTTCTGATGTGGTCCCTTTTCCGTTATTTTTTTTGTTTCCTTTTTTTATTAGCTTTCGAAGGATGACTTCAGACCATATAGAAACATATCATTTAGATGATGAGGTTGGTACAGATTGTGAACATAGTCTTGGTTCTGGTGGTGAATACGAACCTTCAGATGGTGGGGAGTATGATTCTGATGAAAAGGAGGGCATTAACAATGAAAGGAGGAGGGTTGTAGATGATAGGTTGGAAAACTATAAGGAGTTGAAGCTAGGTATGTCATTTAAGGACATGAATGAAGGCAGGAAGGCTGTAAATTTCTATGCTTTAGCTAACAAAAAGGCTTTGAAGTTGATTAAATGTGAAACAGTAAGAACCAGGTGGGGTTGTCAAGAAGGGTGTCTCTTTAGGTGTCTAATTTCTGAAGATGGGAAAACTGGTGGGTTCACGATTAAAACTTGGAAGGATATACACACATGTGATGATGCCTTTAAGAATCCTAGAGCTGATGCAACCACATTAGCTCAATATTTTAAGAGTAAGGTCCAAAATAACCCTAAATACACGATTAAAGATATGAGAGGTGAGCTTGAACATTATTTGAAGTTGAATGTGAGTAGATCCAAATTGAAAAGGGCTAAGAATTTGGTTCTTCAGAAACTAGAGGGTAGTTTTATAGATGACTACAACAAACTTGAGGCATACTGTCAAGAACTTAGATTGTCTAATCCGGGAAGTGATGTAGTCATAAATATCTCCAAAGATGCACTAGCAGAAGGTAAGAGAAATTTTTTGAGAATGTACTTATGCTTTAATGCTTTGAAGCAAGGCTGGAAAAATGGTTTGAGACCATTAATTGGAGTAGATGGTACATTCTTAAAGGGTAGAACCAAGGGTCAGTTATTGGTTGCATTAGGACAAGATTCCATGAATCATTTCTACCCACTAGCATGGGCTGTGGTGGACAAGGAAACAAGCAGGTCTTAGAGTTGGTTCATGGAGCTGTTGAAGTTGTCTTTGGAGCTTAAAACTGGTACAGGAATCACATTCATATCAGATATGCAGAAGGTAAATAGTTCTGACTTTCTTTCATTCTATATTTTAAAGTATATGATGGTTTGCACTAATAGCCTAATATTTCTTTCATTCTCTGTTTTGTAATTCATTTCACATGGCTTGTTGGATGCTGTTAGCACAGTACTTCCTGAGGCTAACCACAGGTACTGTGTGAGACATATTGAGGCCAATTGGTGCAAAAAATGGAGAAGTGGTGAAATGAGAAAGTTGTTATGGTGGTGTGCATGGAGTTCATATGATGAGGAGTTTAAAGACCAATTGAAAAAATTAGGGGATCTGTCAGAAGATGCTGCAAAGGATATCTTAAAGTATCCTCCAAGGGCATGGTGTAGGGCTTATCTTGATACCTAATGTAAGAATATGATGTTTGATAACAACTTCACTGAGTCGTTTAATGCCTGGATTCTTGAGGCTAGAGGAAAACCAATTATCAAAATGTTGGAGGACATAACAGTGAAAGTGATGGTGTTGTTAGGAGACAATGAGGCTTAGGTGAGAAGTTGGAATGCAGAATATAGTCCAGCTTGCTTGAAGTTGTATAGTGATTGGAGGGGCATATCACTTGACTGTAAAGTCATATTCAATGGAGATTGGGGATATGAAGTGTCTGAAGGAATTGATAGACATACTGTCAATCTACAACAGAGAAGGTGTACATGCAGGTTATGGGATTTATCTGGCATTCCTTGCCCTCATGCAATAAAGGCAATGATGCATAAGAGAGTAGAGCCTGGTGGTGAAATCCATTGGTGGTATAGTAAAGAAGCATACTTGCTAACATATAAGGAAAAGCTTCAGCCTGTTAGGGGTCGGCAGTTCTGGAAAGTTGAACCTTCACAAGCCATGTTACCTCCTGATACTGTGAAGCAAGTTGGCAGACCCAAAGTGAAAAGAAATAGGGAACCAGATGAGGCAAGAAAAAGGATAGGGGAGTGGAGTCAATCAAGGAAGGGTACACAAATGACATGTAGTAATTGTGGTGAGCCAAACCACAATGCAAGGGGTTGTTACAAGGTAATATTTTTTCATATTGTTTGATTGATTAATAGTACTACTTAAATTGACTTGGTTTTTTTTACTTGTTAATAGCCTAAGGCTGCTGCAACTCAAGAAGATGCTGCAATGGAGAGTGACAATGAAGATGCTGCAACTCAAGAAGATGCTGCCACCTAAGCTGCAAACTGCAATGCTGATGTTGGACCATTTGCTGCCACCCAAGAGTTTACACCATATGGTCCGGAAGTTGACAATGAAGAAGATCCTCCACTTAGGCCAATGATTGTTTCAGAAACACAATCAAGGATTGAGAGGGGTAACCTAAGAGGACCTACTACTGGTGTAAGGAAAATTAAGTTTGCTGGAGATCACACTGGGGCTTCGACACCTACCAATCTTCCTTATTCTCCAACTAAGCTGACATGGAAGGGAAAAGCTGCAATCTCATCAAGCCAAGTCCAACTTGAGGCAAGAAAGAGAAATATCAAGATGATGGCAACAAAGGGCAAAGGCAAACCAGTTGCACTTGATGATGAAGATCTTCTTTGAGGACAATTGTTATGTTTTTTGTTAGTTAAACAATTTGCTAAGGCTGCTGTAAAGTTTCTGCTGTTAAGTTTTTGCAAAGCAGCTGTTAAGTTTCTGCTGTTAAGTTTTTGCTGTTAAGTTTTTGCTAAGGCTGTTGTTAAGTTTCTGCAAAACAGCTATCAAATCTAAACAAAACAGTTAAGTTTCAGCTATCATATCTAAGTTTCTGCAAAACAGTTAAGTTTCTGCTGCAAAACAGTTAAGTTTCTGCTGCTTGTTATTACCAGTGATTGTCTTGTTAAGTTTCTGCTGCTAGGCATGCTTGTTAAGTTTCTGCTTGTTATTACACTGATATGAAGTTAAGCATGCACCCAGTAGTTGTGTCCCTTACTTTGAAAGTTCTACTCAGCATTTCTTGACAGGAAACTGGTCAACAATTTGCTCAATTGAGAACAACAAAATTGCTGCTGCTGCAGATTTAATTCCAGTACAGTTATTATGCTAACACAGTAAGATACTTGTGTTTATATGAAGCTGGTTCATGTAAGATAGGATTTCTGTGAGTTCAAAAGCCAACAAGTTATTTTGAAAACATAACATGGTGACATAACTCACAACTAGCAGAGGACCACGATCAATGTGGCAGAAGATTAATTAGCATTGTTATATATATAGAATGTGACTTTTTCTGCATTCTTATTACCCCAGTCTACTGCAAACTTGATGGATTTGCATTTGTCATTCTCATTTATTGGCCAATAATGGATTTGCATTTGTCATTCTCATTTTTATTGTTTAAAGAGAAACAAAAGCTGGAAAATAACATCCCAAAAAGGTTGATCAAAGGGATAGTCTGCCAGAAACGAAGGAAAACATAAACTTCACTCCAAAACATAAAACATAAATTAAACATTAACCATGTAAATTATACATAAACCTTGTTTGAACATCGGTTACATAATCACTTAAATATGTCAAACACACCTAAACTTTGGTTGAGCTTAAGTTAGCTATTTTCCAAGCACAGATAAACCCAACTAAGCAACACCAAACCATACCAATGATATTCCATTTTTTCGGACTACTTTCCTTCACAAACACTAAACCTCCATCAGTTTTTTCCTTAGAAACATCATTGTCTCCTTTAACATTATCTAATTCCTTGAAATCTTCAATTTTTGCAACATCCCCTGCAAAGACGCTTTCAATCTCGACAACCTTCATCAGGAGAAGATTCTTTTCTCGTCTAAGAGCTTCATTTTCATTCTTTAAGTTACTGATCAGTGTTGTAAATCTAATAGGAAGTTCATCATCTACCCATTCCCAAAACTTACAATTCTGTCCCTGCGCAACAATTACAATAAAATTGTCGAGTTAGTGTGTCTTCCTGCATTAATTACCTAAATAAAAATATACAAACAATTCTTATAAAATTTACCTTAGGCATTGAACACTTGTTAAATCATCTGCCGGCATTATTTGGAGTCCAAGCAGTGAATTGGCTAGCAGCAACTCCACAACAGCATTTCCTCCTCGAACCATATGATGAACTCGAAGATCCCTGGCTCATATTTTGGGAATTGAATGGTGAAAGATGGTGGGAACACTAACCCTTACTTGGTCGTATGGAGTCGACGATAATGAGGGTGTGGAGTTTTGCCGATCTAAGTTTCTGCAACTTTTCCCTTGTTTAAGAGACGATAATGGGGGTAACGTTATTAAGAGGCGGGTTATAGCTTATGGGTCGGGTTACGGGTTGGGTTAATGGGTTGGGTTGGACATTTAAATAAAATGATTATGTGGATATTAATTTCCACATGGCTACTTTTGAGTGGATGACTTATCCACTGTGGCTTCCGTTTGAAATCAGGGGGGTATATAGGCCAATAATGTAACGGTAGGGTTGTGGATGGGCCAAACTTTTAACGAGGGTTGGCCCTTTTCGCAAAGTCTAGGGGAGTATTTGGCCCTTTTCCGTATATGTAATAGTCAAAATACATGGTAGTTATAATGAATCTTCAAAACACATATTTCAGAGTATCAGTTGCAAAAAATAGTTCCAATAAGAAAAAAATGAACTCCAATAAGAGCGAGATGCCACCGAATTCTGAACTGCGGAAAATCCAAAAACCTGCCTTTTGTAAAAAAGTCAGCTATCTAAACTTGTTATTTTCCATTAAAGCCGAATACTGCGTAGTTCAAGAATCAATAGAACATTCGAGGTGACATGGCATAGTTTGGGCAAAGCCAAGCTCCAACAGAAATTCGAATTTTTTGGCTTTTTGATTTAGATTTTCAGATTACAGATTGAATTTTGGATTGAAGTTTTACTCTAAATTTGGACTTCGAATTGAATGTTGAATTTGGTACTTTAGATGTTTAGATATCCAAAAATCCAAAACTTTTTACTCTCCATTAGGGGTGTCAATGGTTCGGTTCGGTCGGTTATTTTATAAATTTTGTACCATCCCAATTTTTCGGTTATTCTATTATGTATAACCAAAATTAGACTTTTCGAAACCGTCCCAATCATGTCGGTTTTTCTTCGGTATCGGTACGGTTCGATTAATTTTCGGTATTTTTTTAATATCATGTAAAATTCACCAGTAGAAGTAAAATGAACGCAATAACATATGTTCTTTTAGAGGACTTAGCAAAACTCTCTAGACATTTTTACTGTTTAAAGGGTGATGAATTAAAAAAGAAAAAAGAAAGATGGCTAGAGTATAAATCCATCAACTGTTCTACAACAATGTAAAAGAAATCAAACAAAGGCAAAGAAAATATAAATCACACGAGTTGAAAGATATAACAAGCCGGGACTCAAGAATAAAGTCTATAGAAGATTAAATATTCAAAAAGATAAATCTAAATTATATGAAAGCAAACATATTCAATACATTGTAATTTGCTACTCATAATCGCTAAAATACTTTGTGTCTTGCTAATAAAGATACTTGAAATAACTTAATTTAAATAGAAGTAGCATAATAGGTTTTAGGAGTTAGTATTTTGAGTTTAATTAATTGTTGGCTTGTAATAGTTTTCATAATTCCAAGGCCCAAAGAAAATAGAGAAAATACATAAATTGCCCATCAAACTTGTTCGGAAAAATTATTTACACACCTTAACTTTACGGGCGACCTATGTCCCCACTATTCTTGTTTGGGGTGAATTTAATACCCCATTGGTAACACTTAGTCAGTCTTGTGGTGGGATGTGTAGTACACGCGCGCCACGTGTCAATATCTGCTTTATTTATTTTTTTCACTTATTTAATTATTTTGTTTTGAGGGACTGTTTTGTCCTTTCACCCCTATTATGTGAGGGACTGTTTTGTCCTTTCACCAAAAGCCAAATGGAGTTTTCTTCTTCTCTCTTCCTCCCCTCACCTCGTTCTCTCATATTCAACTTTCTTTTCCAATCCAAAGCTTTTTACACTGCTAAATTATTGATTTTCTTACAGGTTACAACCAATAAAATTTTTATCTACACTCAAAGAACAACTTTATTGAAAATCTGAAAAAACAAATCAAACCCATATGGGTTAGAATTCGAATTTGACAAATTTGTTGTTCATGTTCTTTTCTATGCGATTATACTCTTCTTCAAATTTTTATCTACACTCAAATAACAACTTTATTGAAAATCTGAAAAACACAATCAAACCCATATGGGTTAGAATTCGAATTTGACAAATTTGTTGTTCATGTTCTTTTCTATGCGATTATACTCTTCTTCAAATAACTGGGAAAACAAATGAAAGACGCCGTGAATGTAGGTTGTCCATCAAAAAGGTCTTCTAACTCATCACTCCTAACTTTGATTTCCATATTAGAAAACATTAATTTCTGGAAGATACAGTAGTATCTTGGATGGGAAAAGGAAAATGGTGAGAGGAAGAAGAAAAGGTGGAGAGAGAAAACAAAAAGAGAAAAAAATAAGAAAAGAAGAAGTAAAAGAAAAAGGGACGCACACAGTAAAATTATTTCCCTCTTACACGCGAGGTTGGGAGAGTGAAGCTACTGCCTTTGCCACGTCACAATTTAGGGTGGTCTTAAATTCACCCGAAACAAGAATAGGGGGGACATAGGTCGCCCGTAAAGTTAAGGTGTATAAATAATTTTTTCGGACAAGTTTGATGGGTAATTTATGTATTTTCTCAAGAAAATATAGTGCGTTATTATTTTTAAACATACTAAATAAATATATTTTTCACACGTAAAATTTATTCGATAGTTCGGTATTTTTTCGATTTATTTTTATAAAATAAAAAACCTACCCTAATTATCTTTACCTAAAAATCGGTTCGGTTCAGTACGGTTCGGTCGGTTTAGTCGGTTTTCGAATATCTATTGACACCCCTACTGTCCACTGCCCATTTGCCAATAGTAATAAGTCTTATACCATACCATTAGACATTATTTCATAGTTCAATTCTAATTACTAAGTTACTGTTAGAATAAATTCTATCTTGACATAATTTTACTATAGCTACTTCTTATCAGCCTCATTAATGTATACATTCTATCTTGATATAATCTCACTATAGCTACTTCTTATCAACTTTATTAATGTCTCTACTGCATTTGTGTAATGGCAATTTGATTACTTTATTTAGATGATTGCAGTGAGAACGATATTTTTAG